CTGTTGGCATTAATTCAATCCTCAGCTTCTTCATGAGCGATACGAGTGGAAACCTATGTCAAAAGACAGATAGGACACTTCTTGGTTGCGCCTCCACAACCAATCCTTGGAGAGAAGTGCTGCCCCTTAGAGCAGGTAGGAGCATTTTCCTCCCCAGATCTCTCCAGATGTTATGGTTATGGCCCACATAGCTCTCATCTAGTTCACAAGGTTAAATCCAATATTAAGTTTTTTTAGCATACTTCTCCTATGGGAGGATCCTCCTGGCTGGTCACTATGCCTGCTTTGATTGTCAATTGTCAAATCCCATAGTGGTTGATTTAATTGCTGTTTAGTTCAATCTAGTACCAGTTTGCTTTATATTGTAGTACTACAATTGATATTATGAATGATGATCTAAACTGTATCCTATTGGATTAGTGCTGAAACCAATGTCAACTATTGCCATGTTATTTTGTCTTGCCGTTTTTGTTGCTTACCTTTCCACAAAACCTGGGACTGAAAAAAGGGAGGGAAAGCATTGGTGCACATACTAGCAGCAATCCCACCATGATTGTCTGCATGAATATCCATCAATGTTGGAACACTAGTCACATGGAAGCAATCTCACCACAATTGCTGGTAAGCTCCCTCATTAAGAGGAAATCTAATTCTGAGCAACAATATGTAGTATTGTGTGGGGACACAATTACTATTCCAGCAGTATATACTCAGTAGTACACATAGCTTGCAAACCAAGCAAACATGAGGAGCAAAGAGCAAACATGAGAAGCAAACATGAGGAGCAAACATGAGGAGCAAACATGAGGAGCAAACATGAGGAGCAAACATGAGGAGCAAACATGAGGAGCAAACAGCAAATAACAAACAGCAAACAGCAAACAGCAAACAGCAAACAGCAAACAGCAAACAGCAAACAGCAAACAGCAAACAGCTAGTTTAGTTAAGTAATCTAACAAATTAGTAATTAACCATGGGATTCTTATTTTAAATTGTCCAAATTACTAGAGAAGGAGGAGGAGTGCTTTCTCCTCTTCTTCTTGGGGGGGGGGGCAAAAACATCAACAAGTGAGATAAGGGTATCTTTAATTTCAGTCATGGTTTGCTGATGATGTTGCAAGGACTGCTGAGTAACAGCTTGTTGCTGTTGCAAGGACTGTCAAGAAGGAAGGGCATTCTGATTATCCATAGACATTTGGAACATGGATGCAAAATCTGCGTTACTGCTGTTGCTTGAGGAGGACCTTGACACTTTTGAGGAGTGCAATATCTTGGCTGGAGGGCATTGCTAAGGAGTGCTCTGAGGAATAGAAACAGCAGAAACAGCAGATGCTTGAGTTGATGCAAAAAGAATAGATGCTTGAGTTGCAGATGCTTGAGTTGATGCTGCTTCTTGAGTTGATGCTTGAGTTGGAGCAGTTAGTTGAGGATTAAGTTGAGCAAGCTGAGGGGTAAGCGGAGTACTGAGCTGAGTTGGCACTATCTGAGTTGGCACTTTTTCAGTAAGGTCAGTCACAGTCCTCACCAATGGCGCCATTTGAGTAAGTTACAAAGGCTGTTCAAGAGGATGACTATTGTTGTTGTCAAAAGTGGTGTTGCCCTCACTAAAATTGTATCCTTCTTCCAAATCAAATTCCTTCTTCAAAGGAGACCTTGGCACCAATCAAATACTTTATCTCCTTTGCAAGTTTGATTGCATGAGTTACAAACAGATCCCCAATAGGAATTGGTTTCCTGTGGAGGGAGGAGTACTTCCTGGTCATGGATTCCTTCTCTCCTCCAGGTCAGTTTTCTGCATGGTGTTAAACAACTTGTTCCTATTGATCTGATCCATCAATAGGAAGGGTCTCCCCCAAGATCTTCAGCATGGACATGATCACCCTCAGGCTGTAATTAGAAGGATCATGAGTCCTCCCTCCTCTTTCTTGCACACTTACTGCAGTAGATGGACCTGCTGGTGGTGGCGGTGGCACTGTTGGTGCCATGGTGGATACAGAGGAACAGGAGGAGTCTTCAGTTTTATTGATCAATTTGTGTCACATAGGGAACTCTGTCCTCCTAACTCTCAAGAATCCAGAACTGGCTTGTCTCCTCTGTCCCAGCAAGCTCATGAATCCTCCACAACATATGCTGGTGGGCCCTCCAGAACCCACACACGCATACCCCCTTTGAAATCGAAGATTTGGAGGCTTGATTTCTTGGGTTATTTTTCCCATGAAATAACCCACAATTATAGTAAAACGTGGGTTATTTTCTCCAAAAATATCCCACATTTTTCTAGTGGAGGAATTTGAAAAGGGGAATGCTTGCTTGGGTACCAGAGGGCCCTGATACTTGTAGAACTATTAGTAAGTAGAGGGCTGCAAATGCCAGCCAATCCCATCATGGTCAGCATACTCTTCTCTGGTCCTGCATTGTTTGGTTTTCCTCTTCTTGTTGCATGTGTTCTGTTCTTGAGGGAGGAAGCAAAKAAATGCTTGTTCTTTTAGTAAAGATCTAAATTTTCTGTTTGGTGCCCAGTGACTGTCTTTTTACTAGGCCTACCTGTTCACAAGACTGAAAATGTCTAGTCAAGGATTCCGATAAAACATGTATCTCAATACATACTACTAGTCTCTTTGTTTCTCTTTGTTTAAGCACCAGAGAGAATATAATCTGAGCACTACTAGTACTACTACTAGCATTCTCTCTGTTTTTTTGTGACGTAGTAGTAGTATGTTTTTTCATAGCTAGTACTAGTGGTGAAATGATATGATGGGGTTATTTCTCCTCCTCGTTAATCAAGAAAGAGAAACAAATGGAATATTGCCTCTTCTCAATCATCTCTTTTTTCTCAATGCTTATACTAAATTTATGAAAAGAAACAAAGAAGAGAACACTGCCTGGGCAATACCAGGTAGTACTCTCTTTGTTTCTCTCTGTTCAATTTCAAACATGCATGGATAAAACTTTTGGGAAACCCTGATTCTGTTTGTGACTGTCTTCCTCAAAAACTAACGGAGATCCCAGTTGAAACTGGGGAGCAACGATGGGAAGCAATCGATTAGTGTGCGAATCACCTATTCACATAATATTCGAAGCAAGATGGCGAGAAAGCTCCACCACTTGATTATCGGTCTTACGATACTGGTTTTTTTGCCAGTTTTAAAGTTGAGCTTTCTTGTGTTTCAAGATGACGTCGAGGATCAATTCATATCTCCTGATGTGACAAGGTCATCATCTTCGTCTACAAGTTCGGATACAAACTCTAGTTTACTGGGAAAAGGAGTCAAGGGTCAACCTCCATCTCCTGTTTCACTGCGAGCTTCTTCTCCGTCTACGAAATCGAGTGCAAAATCTAGCTTGTTAGATGAGAATGTCGCGGAACAATCTGCATCACCTGCTCCAAAAGGATCATCTTCCTCGTTAACAAATTCGGACACAAATTTTCCGAAAACCCTGGTCATTTATTTCCCGCAGTACCACAGAGATCCCTTAAATGACAAGAACTGGGGCGAGAACTTCACTGATTGGGTATCTTTGCAAAAAACTGATTACAATAACAAAATGAATCAGTCAATCCCCAGACCCTTGCTGTCAACAGGAACATCTAACATGGCGAATGGGAGCATATCCGGTGATCTCCCACCACCGCTTGGGTACTACGATTTGTCGGAAACAGAACCACGCCGCATCCAGGGCATCCTGGCCAAAAAATTTGGAATCGATGGTTTCATATATCACCATTATTGGTTTTACGACCAAAGTCACAAAGGGCCAAATTTGGCAAAACCCTTGGAAAATATGCTGAAGGATGGCCATCCTGATGTACCCTTCATGTTCAACTGGTGCGCCGTCAAATGGGTTAACGTATGGATGGGCAAAGCAATTTTTCAAACAATTCCAACGAATAAGAATCGGGCGATCACCCTTCAGGATCAATATTTCGATGTCACACAAGAAATGATATACGAACACTACCTTTGGTTGAAACCATTTTTTAACCATCCGAATTACATCCGTGTAGATGGGCAGCCGGCATTTTTTCTTTATTATTATGATGACCGAGCCTTGCCTATCTTGGAATCGTTGCGAAGGTTTGCCATAGAGGATGGGTTTTCCGGATTGCATTTTATTGTGGGGCGATCGTCTCACAACGAGCAACTTTATGACACTTCGCATTTGGAAGAACGTGAGAAAAAAAGTTTGAATCGTAAGGCGCAAGGCTTGGATCTTGTGGACCCAAGCAAAACTGAAGTGAAGACTAAAAGCATATTGCCAGTCTTGTTCAATGTCACTGAAACTTCGATGTCGTCACTGTTACAACTCGACATATCGGGAGCACAACAGGAAAAAGGTGTTCCGCGAGAAATGCAAACCTGGGATTACAACCCATTCAACCAGACTATGACATATCCCTATCCATTGGACTATCTGACTCGACCGTTAGAGGTTCCAGCGTGGTGCACAGATCCCTCAAAAAATTTTACAACTCTGGACGAGTCAGGTTATATCCAGCCGCATCACCCTGAAATCATTGGAATAATTACAACCTTTGACAATACTCCGCGCCGACAATTAAATGGTGCAACTGTGTGGAATGGGGGCTTAAAGGATGCCGTGGAATCTCCTGACGATGCAATAGAAAGATTCACGAAGAGTTATACCGCAGCTCTATATCACCAAAAATGCTGCATCGATATTGCTTTGGCGCGGCAACAAGAAAAACAAACAAAGGGACGAAATAGCAATCCAGACTTGAAGTTCAATGTGATGAAGAGTAGTCGTTTTGTGACTATCAATGCCATGAATGAATGGGCAGAAGGAATGTCCATCGAACCAAGTGATATTTATGGATACCGTTGGTTGGAAGCAATTAAGGCGGTTCAGAAAACGGTAAAAAATCAACCTTGTCGCGACTAGGCAGGGTGCCTCATGTTGCAGAGTGCATTTTTCTGGTGTTGGTTGCTACTTCACTGCGTCGAACATCAATATGAAATGGGATCGTCAGAAACGAGCAATAATCGAGAATAAGGTTATTCCATGAAAAATTAATGAAATCACAATTTTTAATTTCTCCGCATGGACACGACGCATCGAACAGCCGTGAATGACGATAGCTACCAAATGATCGCGATAAGAGATGGATACACTGAATTCTGTATTGTCCATCAGATACAAGTTGCTACGTCAACATTGAAAATGAATAGAAAAAATTAAATGGGAAATATGCTACTCTATTCATCTTTCGTATAGCTCTTGTTCACATTCTCTGTTTTTGGGACAAAGGATGTTACGAGATATGTTAGAGGATATTTTTCATGTAATTGTTGCCAGCAGACTGCAAAAAGATCGGCAATCGGATATATGAGCTTGCCTGTGAGCGAGAGACTAAAAGAACAAAGTACAACAGATCAGAACGACAGGGTGAATCGACGCGATGACACCAATTTTATGGGATTGAAGCGTAAAGATGGCCATACAAATCAACGAGCCTGTCAAATGATGAATCCATTGCCTATCATAGCAGCGTAGCAAACAGGGTCGGGAACAATAATGAAAAAGCGCGCCAAGTCTGCAAAATACCTTACCTCTTCACACGACAAAAAGATTCTACGAAAATAATCCTTGTTCTGGGTTTCCACCCAACAATGCGGAAGAAAAAGGCACTAAACGCAATCGGTAAACATGTTCCAGGTCCATTGGCAAGTATCAGGTCCGGTTGAACCTAGAAAATAGAAAGGGACATTCGGTAAAAAAAGACAACATAGAATATGTCAATCTCGATAGATGAGCCACAAACCAAACAGTCGCTCAGGGCACTCGAGCAATCGATACAGGAAAAGGTTTTGTTTAACTTATTTGACGCTCTTACCTGAAACCCTACGAGCCAGAATGCAAAGACGAAGCTGTACAGTGTTGTCAGAATCGACGACCAGTAAGATTGACCAACTTCCCGACTGCGTGGTATTCGATAGACTCGTTGGCCGTTGTGACTACTACTGCTGCTATTCTCCTCCAAATTTTCCTTGTCCTGTATAGGAAGCACATGTGGGTGAGCTGAAACACGTTTGATACTAGTAGTATCGGTGGTGGCGACGGTCAAGACTATTGGGCTGTAATGATCAGGATTTAGATTTTGGATCAAGTACAACATTTCTGTCGTATGACCCCCCGACCCCAAGACAACCAAAGTTTTGAGTGGTTTCGTTGTTGGTTTGACTGATGATCCAGAGTGCGGGAAACTACTTGCTGCCGTTCTTGGATCTTTCATCTGTCGAATCTTACGAACAGAACGAAGTAGATAGAGTGACCTTCCAACAAAAAGTAGCACGAGGAAGCATCCAATCCAAAGTGCCCCCACACTCGTCGTAGAAGAAGTTCCATAATACAAGTCATAGATCTGTCCACCCGATGTTTTCATCCTGTCCCGTAGCTATGCCTTGCCAAAGGTACTATGTGTGAAGGCAAGCAGAATAGAAGTAGAAATGGCTGATTGTTGAACGGTCAAAAGTGGATCTCGTGTTGACGAAATTTAGAATCTGCCGTTGTCTGTTCCGAAGGCATAGCGAAGGGCTTGTTCGGTGAGGGAAACTATTGTTGGCGATTCGACAAGTCCTGAAGAGACGAATAAGTGTTGTTACAGCTACCTCAACCAAGCATGGTCTCTTGGAGTTTTCAATGTCCCCTCTGTGAGACCATCATTTCGAAAGGGATGCTTCTCGGCCGTTTTTGTTTCACGTCGTACGTACCGTACGTACCGGCCACCCCTGGGACGTTCTGAAACAGCGAATTTCCACGTACGCTTAGCTACTAGATCCACCGCACGTTTGACCACTTCGACCAATGGTTGCATTGCGCACGTGTGTGTTTGTACGCAACGGCTCTATTAAGAATAGGGGGTCCCGGGAAACAATTTTCATTTAGGTCAAATTAGTCTTTTGCGGTGCACTGCAAGTGGAAGTCAAATTTTGAATAGCATATCAGCAAACTCATCTCATGCCACCACTATCTCATTTCCGTAACTTTATATTTCTTCAGAAAAAAAGGTGTTCAACCTAGTACATGCTCTACATTAAAAATTTGTTGATACCATGTTTTTACATTTTTCCGACCCTCAAACTCCCTTATCATTCCAGAAGGACAATTCCAGTCAAATAACGACTATTTTTGTACTTTTTTATTCTATTCGACTTCCATGATTTCTCTGGCTTTTTTCTGGTAGACTCATGGTAAAAACATTGTTGGTATAAGGTAGAAACATAATTGATCATTTGTAAGAATATATTCAACATCTGGTAGTAGCCCTATCAGCACGTGCCATATCCTCTGAGACTCAGATATTATATATTTGTTATCATATATTCATTTATAAAGATACAATTATTTCTCCATAAATATAATTTTTATATAGTATAAATTATATACATGTATGTTTACTATTTGTTATTAGTATCATACCGTACCATAGTACGACCGGCAGTACTACTGTGGATCTAGTATAAATTATACATGGGGGATCTGGGAAGGCTACTAAAAATTGACTATCAATCAGATATCAATTGGATATCAATCAGATTTAAATCTGATTTGTATTCCTTTTCTAGTCAATTTGTAGTCAAATTCTGGTAGCAAAAAAATCGAATTTTGAAGAAATAGTTTCCTGTATACCCCTATTCATAGTCAGTGTACCGGCTGGTATACGCAATGTGCTCATTGCAGCAACAATCTACTGTAGTTGAACTAGTCGGATCTGGTAGCTAAGTGTACATGGAAATTTGCTGTTTCCGAACGTCCCTGCTGGCCTGTACAGCTCCTGAAACCAAGAAATAGGCACCTTGCTAGCAATAAGACATAGTAATTGTCGAGTTGCTCGCTTTTTGCATGGACATGTTAGAGCTACTAAGTGTGAAATGCTGAGTGCAGACCCATAACGGCAAGTTATTTGCAATTCCCCGGGTGTCAATTTTTCTCATTTTCCCGTCTTTATTTCCCCTCTCCCCCCCTCCACACAAAAAACTACTAGTCGCAAAATATTTCTATTACTGGGCCTTACTACTGGGAATATCAAAACAGTGCTTATCTCCAGTATGAAGGACCACTGCAATGGATACGTACCTACAGTATGGAATACGTACAATACGGAATCAAGGTTACTTACATATCAGTATCCTCCATATCAGAAGCCGCTCCTCCATGGAATCAGCAAGCACCCTCGTCCATATCAGCATCTGATGACTTCTTGTATCTTATCAGCAACTCTTATGGTATCAGCGTCCTCCATATCCAGTGTCCTCCAGATTAGCAGCAGCTCCCCTCCTCTGCATTTGGCAGTGACTCATGTACCAGTGAATACAAGGAGCAAAAAACCTGCAACCCAACAATTCCATAAACAATTGGCAATCTCAGTGCCAGTCTTCAGTAGTAATCAGCAAACTGAGGCTGAGGCCTTGATCTTTAGCTCTTGACCTTGGCCTCAGCCTCAGCCCCAGTTTGCTGGTTACTGAAGTAATCTAACTTCAGCCTCAGTCTCAAGCAAAGCTCTTGACCTTGTCTCCAGTTATCTTGTTACTTGGTGTAATCTGTATGTATTCTGGTCTGGAAAAACTGACCTCAAGTGAGAGAAGGAAATTACAGATCAGAATACATACAGATTACACGTACGGTGCCAGCAGGTTGCCAATTATATCACATAATCATCTAGGATGAGGTCAATTTTTGCTTGTGATCACCCGCACCAGATTACAAAAAAAGAATGGGTGATTCCCCTTATTCTACTAGAATGCTTAACTGCTAGATTTTGCATATTTAGCAATTTATTGTATAGTTGGCCAGCAGATCTACAATATAGTCATACATTTTGGGCCCTTATTTTGCATCTAATGACTACTTGTTTGACAAAAAACTAAATACATACAAAATGCACGTGCTCAGTACTACTTGAATTTTTGAATCCCACATTTGCACAACCAAATAGTTTTGCGCATGTGCAAAATAGTTTTGCTTGCATGTTCATGCTGTAGGCCTAGTACAAGTCAAATTTAAATCCCATGAGTCATTACACAGTACAACAAAGTAATTAGATGGCCCAAAATTGAAGCACAGTACAAAAAACACGTAGGGCATTAAGTGACTGTCAACTCACTTGAACAGCTATAACTTTGCCCCCAATGGACACTTAACAATGATAAGCACACAAATCAAATTCCAGAAAAAAGACCTTTCTAGTCATGTGAGGGGTTATAGGGGGTTAATGAGCATTGAAAGGCATACAGCACTGCATATCTAAAATTAAAAAAAATGTACAATTATTTCAGCCGGAAAAACGTAGCCACGTCTATATGATAGTAACGGGAATCAAAATTTCAACAGACAGACATCAAGGAAGACAGGCTTCCTCTCAGTCTTTGTCGGAATCTGGAATCTTAACTATAGTTCAACATAAACACTGTCGAGGCTTAAAGGAGGAGCCCACGCCACTGTTACTAAGAAAAACATGAAATTTTGGATTGAAACTCTAGTTAAAGGAACACACATATTTTTGATACTCTCATAGTATACAAAATATGTGTCTTCCTTACACTAGCTAGTATTAGTCGATGTCAAAACTTACTAGACACACTATTAGACCAGCGTTTCCTCCCAGGAAGAAAGAAGGCCACAACGGGAGTTGTGGAGGTCATTATGTTGTACTGGTACATCAAGTTGAATGAGGATGAGCAAAACAAGACTCATCTACAAAAACTCTCTTCAGAAGAGAGAAAAAGAAGGGACAGGAGGACCCCCAGGATTGCAATCTGCAGATGCACACACTCCCCCTTCATCCATCTCATCCACTCAGGGGACAACCAAACACTCCTCAACTTCTGGTCTGTAAGAATTGGGGCATGGATCCAGCTGAGGCAAACTACCAATAGCTGGGGATGGGGGGATTAGTGATCATGTTCTTGGCTCTCTAGATGTTAAAAGTGCATGAATAAAGCCTAGTAAGGAGGAGGATTTTTTCCTTTGGAAGGGGGTGTTACCATGGTGGGTTGGATGCCAGAAGGCCTTGGTCAGGTATGTATGTATKTACTTGAAAAAATGTTTTGAAAATTATAACAAAAGCTTCAGTTTAAACATCTTCACCATGGTATTCATCCCCAGTACAGGGAGGTTTGTTGCTGGTATCTGGAGGAAGGGGTACTTGTGGACCAGCCAGTGGACCATAAGAATGGTAAGGATGATAATGGTTCTTGATTTGGTTGCATTGTCACTGATTGAACATGGAAACAGCAGTACCAAGAGCTTTCTCCCAGAACCCACTTTGCTCTTTGTTGCTGGCTCCTAATATACTCATTGAAGGCAGCAGCATCTGCTGGGACACTGGATTTCTTCTGCTGCTGATATGATCTCTTCTTTGGGGTAGGAGTGCATTCTACAAGAGACAGAATAGTCAATGCTTCTCCAGCAAGAATCATTGATGCTCCATCACCAAGAACAGTTGATGCTCCTCCAGCAATAGTAGCCAATGATCCTCCAGCAACAGTAGTTGATGATCCTCCAGAAGCCGTCAGCCCTCTGGGTAGGGGAGGAGGAGCCTCTTCTAAACCCTCCTCAGGCTCACTCTAATATGAAGAAAGGTCCTCCTCTCCAGTGCCAAGATTTGCCTTCTTGCCAATCAAGATATGGGCCTTGCGTGTCATCTTTGCACACTCTGACATGTTTGGATTTCCAGTTGCATCCATGGGGAGCATATCCAATATCAAACGCATGAGACTTGTGAGCTATCCACTGAGTAGTTTGTAGTACCAGCCTTACAGCCAAAAACACCTTTGGCAGTTTGATCCATCTTAAAAATAGTGTGGGGGATTGGACAATGAACTGCCTCTTTGCAGTTGCCAGGCTCCTCCTCCTCCTCCTCCTCCTGGTGTTGCTCTCTTTGCTGCAACAAAGAAAGGAAATAGAATGTACTGACTAAGAGCACTGATTGGGACATGGTTTATGTGGCATGACTGTTAGAGGTGCATGGGTGCCATTCTTGATAGAGGTGCCTCTCTTTGTTCTTCTTTAGGATAGCTGAGTCTAAGTGTTCTGGTGGAATGCACTGCCTAAGCGCAGTGGGAAAAGGAGGACATTACTTCTATAGTCTCAAGACAGACAGGGTCATTCTTTGGAATTGATGGACCTGATTGCCAGTGCCCAGTGAAGCCATCAATTGAGTCCACCAAATGGCAAAGGACAGTCCCAAGGGAATTGAATTCAGGAACTGTACAGGTCAAACTATCAAGGATGAGTAGTTACCACAGTGACAGGGAACAAACAGACAACAGCTGTAAGATGAGAAAACAACAAGTTTGCTGAGTTGGTGGAAACAGCCAACAATAATGATGAGCTTGCAGACAAGGCTTACAAAGAGGATACAAGAGCGCCAACAGGGGAGACTGAGCATCAACCAGCAGCCTCTCTACTCAACCTGACACCACACATGATCCTCCAATGGGGGATTACAGGAGTGGACAGGACCCCCACAGGAGCTTATGAGTGGGGTACAAAACCCAGAGGAAGAGATTTTGTTCATCCCTGAAGGTTCTGTGGCTGGAGGGAACAGCAGAACCAATTACGATAGCAAGAATGACAAGGAGGCTGAGGTCCCGCAGTATAACTTGCAAGGGAACTGAGACCTATCTAATGAT